TCCCACGGGGTGGCAGCACAGCCGAGCAGGTGGGCGGCCAGTGCTTCCGAGGTGGGCACCTTCTAAGCATCTCCCTTCCTTCATAGGGACAGGCTTGGGTTCCGGTCCAGCGAAGTCTTGTTTTCATATTCCAGCGCCTGTCTGGGTTTGTTTACTTTTTCTTAATTTCTAGCAAAGTAATACGGAAGACGTTTTTTACATATGTTACTTCAGAGATCAGGAAGTCTGTAGGAAGATGTCCTTTAAAATGATTCTAGGGTAATGCTTACACATGAGACCTTGCATCTTGACTGGAGGGCAATCACTAGTGTCACTGAGACTCCTTACCTTTCCCACACGCTTTATTTTTTTCTCTCAGACCGAGTTCCTGCTGGAGCACAATGCCGCATAACTAGCCAAAGCTTCTGTGAGGGACTAGGAGGCTGATTAAGACTGCTGAAAGAGATGAACTGCTTGTGCTTGAGTGAAACTAGGTAAAGGAATCAAACATAGAGCAGTTTGTCCTAGAAAGTTTACAAGGAAAACAAAATTTTTTCCAATATGAACCAGATACTTGGCATGCAGAGGCTTGCAAGGCCACCTGTCCTAAGCAACTGTAATACCCTGCAAAGATGGGGGTAAAGATGTCAGAACAGCATCTTTGGTTATGGATGTACCAGAATTGGAACCAATGAGGAAAAGTAATTTAAGGCAGGTGGTTTCTCTGAGAGGAATTTAGGGACACAAAAAGAGGTACAAGGACAGTGAAAAAGTTGTTCCAGATACAGGGGAAAAAAATGAGGGAAGAAATACTAAAATCCATTAAAGAATGAAACAGACTTCTGCTTCAACAATATGAGTGCAGATGCCCACAGACAGTAATGAAGCTGACCTGCATGTCCAAGCCCACCAGGACATCAGACAGCCACTTTGGACAACCCACTGGACTTTACAACAGATCCGTGTCAAGAAGACTTGGTGTAGAGAAATAAAGAATCATAGGAGTGCACTCTAGTACTATATGGTACAAAGGGGAAAGGATAATAAAATTGAAAGTATGTCTTTCATAGGATTTGTGATAATAGCTTTGTAATAGCTGTATACTAGAGTGTGAAATTGTATCATTGTAAATTAGTAACACTAGTATGTCTATTAGTTGATTTATTAGTTGGTAATGTTTTACTTAATCAGTAAAACTGTAGCCTCCTAAATCGGTTACGTCTCAAGCTTGCAGACCAAAAAGGTAGAGTTGGACTCATTAAGTGACTTCCAGCCATAAGAGAAGGAGGCAGTAGATTAAGGAACCATTTCAACATATTCCTACTAGAAACTGCTGTTTTTCCCAGAATTTGTTAGGGAGCATTTTCTAGGATCTGGTGAATATGGATGCTGGTAAGATCTGGAAAAAAGGAGATGATAAAGGCCGCAAAGTAGGCAGTGCTTTGACCAAAAGGAGTTCTTGAAGAGAGGGAAGATGTAAAAGCTAATAAGGAACATAGGAGCAGCAAGATGTAACACAGTACTTGGCAGTGAGCAAAGGAACATAGCAGAATATGCACTTGGCCTAGAAAGAGACCAAAATGCTGATGTTCAGGAAAACCATATGCAAATGGGAAAAACAGAAAGGCATAGGAGGTGGGCAGGAAAACAACAGCGGAAGGATGGGAAGAAAACAGCAAGAAGATGAGTATTGATCAAAGTAACATAAAGGAGTATTGAAAGCTTATTCATTCATACTTGCACAACTAAGAAACTTGAAATCACAAATTGAAATGTTTTTTCCAAAGGAAATGCTAAAATTAAGTAAATTTGACATCTGACACCTAGTCTTTTATTTGATGTAGGACGAGACCGATTTCTCTTTTTCAAGGTGTAAGGGGTAGGACCTTTTGACTTGATGTGTCTTGTTGCAGGGAAAACATGCTGTCTTCAGCCTTTTACCTTACACAATGGTCCTTCTGGAGCAGTGGGTCTCTTGAGTGTGGCCAGTCACACTTGTGAGCTATGTTCAGATCCAGGTAGCTAAAATGCCAGGTCTTTTAATGCTGAGCTTGAGATGTCTTAGTGAAGCTTCATGACTGTAAAGTTGGATTTATGTTAGGTTTATTTCTGTGTGACACAATAGTTAGCCAGCATACAGTTTCATTTACATTAGCACATAGCTAGAATAACAATATTTTGTGTTGTTATTCTGTTTTTCCATTGGCGTAAATGAGATCTGAGTTTGCCCCTCTTTTTGGAAATTAATTGACATTTTGTCATTATCCTTATTAATGGAAAATATTTAAAGAATAAAGAGAGTATTAAACAAGAGGGCAATAAAAGGGCTTTTTCTCTGATCTCAGGGCAACTTCAGTTCTGCTTCAGCACAAAGCTACATTTAGAACAATCAAATACAAGCCTTTTAGTGTTTGGGATGTTATAACTGCTTTTGAAGGTTTCTTTTTCATTTCCATTCTATGGACAGTGCCACAATCAGGATCAAAGCAATTACTTGTAGGTTCTCCAGTAGCTGTTGAAGAAATTTTCAGACAGTAAACAGGCCTAGTATAGCAAGTCCCCAAACTGTTCTTTCCCCTGCTGTGATACCTGTACGGCTACTGCAGTAGTGAGAAAGGAACAAATAGTAAACAAAAATGGATCCAGGGCAGAAATTAGTTGCACGACGAGTTTCCTATTTGGACAGAACTGATGGAACCATAAAACAAGTTTGCAGGTGGAGAAATCTTAATGTACCTTCCCTTGTTTTCAGATGTTTTGCAGCCATTCTTTCACTAGTCTGTCAATTTCCTATTCTATAAACTGATATTTAGCAGGCATTGAAGTAATTTAAAGCAACCTTTCAAATTCTCTCTCCATTCTTTAATTCCTGCAGCAGAAATGAATGGAAAGGTACTGTAGTTCGCTACTGAAGGAAGAACTTAGGCGCTTTTTTTTTTTTTTTTCTGTAGTCAGGACAGTGCTTCACACCCCATGGATAAGTACTCAGTGTTACTGACAAAATCATCGTACCAGTGAGGTTCCTAGAGAACACTCAATGGAGAGCAGAATAGAGTACCTTGCTTATGTTCTTACTCATATCAGCCTAAATCTGATTATTTTGATGCAGTGTAGCAGAGTTGCATAAATTGTTAGAGATAGAAATCCAATAGTTATACTTTGTGCTTCATTTCATTTCCAGAAAAGTCCCATCAGAAGTATGGAGAACCATCAAGCCTGACGATTTTAACCACTTCATTTTCACTTGTTTTCTCCTTAGGTAATGTGATCTGAATATTGATACCAAAGCATAAGCTTTACAGAACAACTGTAAAACTGTACGGACTCTTAGGAAACAGTTGATTTTTTCTGGCTGTTTTCATTTTCAGAGTAACAGCAAGAGTGATACATTCATAACCACCTGCCAGTGGGGACTGTAGGTAGCTAGGATAGGCAGTTAAGATGTCAATTCCTTTTGGCTCTTCATCAGTCTCTCAGAAATAATAAACTGCTTCAATCTGTGTGGTCAAATAAACATGTTAATACTGAATGTATTTAACAGAACAATCTCTTCAATTGTGTGTCGCCAAAATGAAAACTTACTAAGGATGCACAGGGCTGCTAGATTGTCCTAGGTGCTGTTGATCCTTAGTGGCTGTTAGGAAAAACTTATACTTTGTTCTGAAAGGAGCAAAAGCTATCCCACTTCTCAGGGCTCACATCTTGTAGTAACAGCTTGAATGTGCTGGCTCTAAGAATAACTTTTGTGGTTCAATACAGGAACTTTCTGCAGATCAGATTGCTTTCTGTCAGCTGTCTTAGGTGATGTGACCCACACATTTCATTCTTTTTTGTATTCAAAATATTGAATTCAGGCTATTATATTAGGTTTAGTTTACACTGATTTCTTGTTACACTGTCCTGGTTTCAGCTGAGAGGATTGATTTTTTCTTCATAGTAGCTAGTGTGGGGATACATTTTGGATTTGTGCTGGAGACGGCATTGATAATACAGAGATGTTTTTGTTCTATGGACTTATTGTTGAGCAGTGCTTACACAGAGCCAAGGCCTTTTCTGCTTCTTGCACTGCCCTGCCAGCGGGATGGCTGGGGGTGCACAAGAAGTTGGGAGGAGACACAGCCAGGACAGGTGACCCAAACTGACCAAAGGGATATTCCATACCATATGACGTCATGCTCAGTTTATAAGGAGCTTGGGGGAAGGGGGGAGGGGGGGGGCTGCGGCGTTCAGAGCAATGGCATTTGTCTTCCCAAGTAACCGTTAGGCGTGATGGAGCCCTGCTTTCCTGGAGATGGCTGAACACCTGCCTGCCCATGGGAAGTGGGGAATGAATTCCTTGTCTTGCTTTGCTTGTGTGTGCGGCTTTTGCTTTACCTGTTAAACTGTCTTTATCTCAACCCAGGAGTTTTCTCACTTTAACTTTTCTAGTTCTCTTCCCCCATCCCGATTGGGGGGAGTGAACAAGCGGCTGCGTGGTGCTCAGCTGCCAGCTGGGGTAAAACCACGACATACACCAATAACTATAAAGTCTAGAGCACAGCAGAAAGATGATTTTCAAAGTTACATTTTATTAGGAAGTTATAATTTCAAAACAAAACCTTACACACAAACATATAAAATCTTAAAAATTATCAAGTTGTGTGAATTCAGTTTCCTATTAATATAAATGCAAGACATCTGTGGTTGGGTAAAGTGTAAGTACCTTCTCTGTGAGTGTAGAAACCAATTTATTAAAAAAAACCCTAACAACCCAAGACTTTTACACCAGAAAACATAAGGCTTCAAAGGGTTTCATTTCATATAGTTCAACATGTTAGCAGCTTACACTGAATTATACTGGAACACTAAAAGTGAGTTTGTTATTGGCAAGAACAACAAATATATTTGTTATAGTAAAAGAATACAAAACCACAAAAAATTGCCAGCAGAGTGTTAAGAGTTTCCCAGAGAGATTTGTCATCATGAATAATTGCACTTAACCTGTAGGCTATTACTAGTAGCTAATACTATTTTCTTTATTATTTCAAAATATTTATAATTTCCTTAACAAAATCCATTCTGTACCCAACACAAAACATTCACTGAATGCAGATTTAAGTTAACACAATATTAGATTTTAATTGTGCACCTTTACTTTCCTCTTTTTACCTATATACCAGAAAGGTTAAAGAAAAGGGGGGGGGGAGCATTAAAATGAGTGATCTGTGCAAAACAGGAAGCTTTTGTATAATAACTGATACCTCATGCAAAAGAGAAAAAATATTAACAAAAACAGTCTAAGAAGCCCTGAGTCAATAATTTCACTGCAAAGGCGAGGAACATGAGTGTTCTGAGTTCTTCCTATACATTGGTGCATATTCAAACCAGTCCAGTATTTACTTAAAACATATTTCAAAATAGGCAGTTTGTGCAGTTTCTCACATACAAATCTTCTATGCACTTCATTCCTTTCAGCAGACTGTATTTAATACTCAATTTCATTTAAGCTGTCAGGATAGCCTGATGAGAATTGAATTTCTTCCACTTCTAGAATACAAAGAAGGGGGAAATACTGTAATTATTTGTATTTTTATCATACATAAGAATGCATAAGACTATAATTACCATGCTGGATATAAATGGGACTGCTGTACAGTTTTTAAAAAGTGTTACAGCATCTTTACCAGTCCATATTCTGAGGATGGTCTTGCATCTTACTAGAATACAAAAATTCTGCACTAACCCAGCAGCATGATACTAAATTCAGATCCATTCACTGGGGATTAAAGGGAAGAAGTTTCACCTGCCTAATTACAAAAAGCACTGTGAATTGCTAGGTGTCTCCTAAGAAACAAAAAAAAGTATGTTTAAACTTACCTAAACAGGGTCCTGCCTGGAACAGAATATCATCAATAGCAGTGTCACTTCTGATTGAGACACCACGGATTGCCTCAAAAATAATCTGTGAAGGTAAGACGCAGCTTTTAATGAATCCCACAGGAGAACGACTTAAAAAACCAAAACCCTATGCAGTCTGTTCAAGGATCTGAAAGCCTGCTTCTTGCAAAGAAACTGGTAGGCTCCATCAGTGGACTGATTGCCCTGCTCAGAGAATTAGGGTGCGTGCTGCGCCGAAGGAAGCAAATTTGTTCTCACAATGTGTTAAGAAATTGCTGTGTGTTACAGGCCACTGATAAATTTTCTCTAGTGATGCAGCATTTCTGTCTTGCTTTTCAGCCCAAATGTGTTGCTGTGTGTTGCCCGTATGCAGGCAAGACTTGAGGGGAAAAAAGGCATTACAATATTATGTGGTGGTGGTCTTACTGATGAAGCTAAACTTTCTTTTCAGTAAAGGTTGGTTTGTTTTTTTCTAATTCATTCCCATGCTCTTAAGGCAAAGTGGAAAAAGCCCACCATCTTTGGTTAGTGATCAATGCAGTTTTGTGCCCAGTGCTGTTTTAGTCAATAGCAATTTCAGCTTCCTCTTTGACAGAAACTGAAGCAAGCTTTGTCTCTGGCAATACTGAAATGATGGCACTGTTGGGACCAAAGGCAGAGCTCTGGCATTGCATCATAGAATTGTTTCAGCTGGAAAAGATATCAAGATCATCAAGTCCATCTGTTAGCCCAGCACTGCCAAGTCCACCACTAAACCATGTCCCTAAGCACCACATCTACATGTCTTTTAAATATGACCAGGAATGGGGACTCCACCACTTCCCTGGGCAGCCTGTTCCAATGATTGACAAACCTCTTGGTGAAGAAATTTTTCCTAATATCCAACCTAAACCTCCCCTGGCACAACTTGAGGCCACTTCCTCTTGTTACTTGGGAGAAGAGACCAACACCCACCGGGCTACAACCTCCTTTCAGGTAGTTGTAGAGAGCAATACGGTCTCCCCTCAGCCTCCTCTTCTCCAGGCTAAACAACCCCAGTTCCCTCAGCTGCTCCTCATAAGACTTGTGCTCCAGACCCTTCACCAGCTTCGTTGCCCTTCTCTGGGCGCGCTCCAGCACCTCAATGTCCTTTTTGCAGTGAGGGGCCCAAAACAACACAGGACTCAAGGTGCGGCCTCACCAGCACCAAGTACAGGGGGACGATCACTTCCCTGGTCCTGCTGGCCACACTATTTCTGATACAAGCCAGGATGCTGTTGGCCTTCTTGGCCACCTGGGCACACTGCTGGCTCATATTCAGCCAGCTGTTGACCTAATCATCCTCTGCCTTTGGTGCCACCTCAGAAAGACCCTCCTGCAAGAAGCAGCCATTCTGTCACAGCTTAGTGGTTATGTCAAACCTAGACAGCTGAAGGAAAAGAAATTGCACAAGTGATCTAAGTAAATACTACCCCTACTGACAAGAAATGATGGGAAAACAGCATTTAAATACTTAAAAATTGATTTTGAATTAATGAATTATTTTCATACTTGCAATCCATTAATGTGTTTAATGATTCCCTCCCTCCCTTCATTTGTAAGAAATCACACGTTACTTCTGCTCGTTCAGGTATCCATTTGATGCTATCTACATTTTAAGATATTAATTTTATACTTAGATTCTGGCACATAGTTCAGTTTGATATTCCCTTTTGACTGCTTTTTGTTTTGTTTTTTCTTACCTGGTAGTTTCTATCACTTTCATATTCTATCAGTCCCCTTAGCCATGAGATGCTTTGTTCCCCTGTCCTCCTCCACAAAGGAATCTCTTCATCATCACCTTCCTTTTTTAGATAAACACTTAATAATCCAGTCCCAGCTCCATACATGTGGTAGAAAAATGTCAAGCACTGTTTTCCAGAGGTTCCTCTTAGTGATCTTGAAACTAGGTACGCTCTCTGTCCATAGACCATGTTGGATGCCTCTATATACATGTAGTATCCTTAAAAACATATACAATCAAATATTAGCACAGTAGAACACAGTCTCTCAGCATATTCATTATGCTCAACATGTTGATTATATAAAAAAACTATTTTGGTAAACATTTTTATGCCATAGACTGTTATATTTGTGAACTGTAATTTTTCTGATATTGTAATAATTGGGTAGTGTAATAATAATGGTAATATTTGTGAATGCTAATATAGGAATATTAAAAACCTGTTTATATCTGATGAAATACATAGCAACAACAAGGAATACAAAATAAGAAAAAAAAAATTAAACCAGAAATGCACTCTGACAGTGGTCAATTAACTCACAGATCTCTTGGAATTCAAAGACAGTTGCGTGTACAAACTACATCTGAGGGTAGTTTAGGCAATGGTTGGAACTGATGCTATTAACAAAGCAAATTAATTCAAATACCTCTTTTAAATTACATATGACATCAATAACATTTTTCTTTCTGTGATCAAGATGTGAAGACACAAGTGAGGAAAACTGGACTCTCTAGAATCCATGAATGAATGAAAGATTGTCATGAACTCTGATCTGTGGAAAAATTAGTCATTAATTGGTGGCAGGCAAACCAATCCCCCCCTTCCTGATCCATCATCGAGTCATTTCCAGTTGGAGCAAAACTGAGGTGTGTCAGAGGACTGAGGAGCATCTCCACGTCCCATCTGCTGCATATGGCAGCTGTTCTGTGTTTTGAGATGTACACTCTGCCAGCAGGCAGTGAACTCAGATTTTGTAGCAGCTCTTCATGCAGTCCCCACTGCTCCCATCTTGGGGTGGTGGAGAGGACAAGCTGCCCTTCTGTCTCCATGAGTCCTGGTGGTGAGATTGCCCTCGGGGACAGAGGGGATTCCTAAGGATGGGTGAGGCAGGAGAAAAACGGAGAGCGGCAAGAGTACCCAGGGGATGATCGGGGTGTCTCATGGTATTCAGAGTCCTATTATCTACACAAACCTATGCTGAAGACATCCCCTGTAACTCGGGTTGTAGTTTGGTGGTGAGCAGCAATAGAGAGAAAGGGTGAAGAGGAAGATTATCTACAGCTCTAGGTCTGTAAGGAAAAGATCACGTTTGCTGGAGAATTCCCAAGGTTATTTATACCAAATCTAGTGCAAGCCATTGCGAGGATTTTGATGTTCACTATGCTTAAAAGGTCTTTGAGTTAAAAATCAAAACCTACATCTCATACTAGAGTAAAATAAAATAGATTGCCTTTAGTTGCCTTAGGCTTGACTCATAAACTTGTTGGAAAGACTAGATCAGCTCTTTTTTTTAATTAAAACCACGTATTTCTCAGCACATCTAGCTGCAAAGAGGTGTGCGAAATAAGGAGTAAACGTTGTAAACGTATTTTCATGTCACAGGCCAGGCTTAAAAGATGCTCCTACTTCACCATTTCTAAAGTCAAGCTATCAGTCTCAGATCTCAGAATAGTGATCTATATAAACTGAAAATAGGTCTAATATCAGTTTCTGCCTTAGAAATTAAAAAAAATTGTACTGACAGCCCATTCCTTTACTTGAGCAAGAAACTCCTAAGTGTTGCTCCTACTATAAGGAGAGGGTTATTATCCTTGGAAACACAAGATCTGGGATATAGAGTATATGAAAGAGTAAAATAAAATAAAATGTATTATCTAGGGAATAACCAGAGGGGAAAAAAGTGTCAAACAAACCTGAATGTTGAATCCTTTTATGGAACCAAGTGTAGCTACCTACCAAAACAACCAGCAACTTTAGTGTGATGTGGTCCTTTTGGATTATATTTTGTAGAAAAAGAAGAGTCAACACCAGACAATACAGAGATGGCCTACAGATGCCTCTCTGAGAGTGTCACCCACATTTCAAAACAAAAATTCTCAAATGAACTTTAAAAAGTTCATTTAAACTTAAAAATCTTTTCTGTTAGGAAAAATTCTCACTTATTTTAAAGCTGGTGATCGTATGTCTGGTTGATACAGAAGAACTGGACAGCAAGGGTAACAAAGACTTACAGACAGTATGTCATCTAATTCAGTCTAATGTCATCTAAATTTTAAATGGAAAAGGGACAAGAATGTCAATATTCCCTTTTGAATGAAGGTCATTTCATAGTACAAAGGTATCATTACTGGGAAAATGTTCTTGATTTGTATATAGCCTACATTTGAGATAACTTAGCCAATAGAATTGGCCAAAATATGATCAGATTTATAAGTAATGCTTCTTGGTTTTATTTCAGAACACGTAAGAGGAGTTTTAAGCTTTAAAACTATGAAAGGCTTCTTCATATTTCTACCCAGAATCAGTATAGTTTAGAAATAACAATGATGATCTGAAATTTCAAGCCAAAGAGAAACATTTCCATCTGCATTCTCAACTCCACATGCAGGGTTTTGGCCAAACAGTCCCACATGCCATGAATTTACGCTAGTCAGTTTCCATACCCTGCTCAGGATGCAGCTATTACAGAAATTTTACTAGGAGGTAGGAAAAGAACATTTTGCTGAATTTTCACAATGCCATCTTTTTAGATAAAGAGATCAGAAACAAAACATTTGTTATTTTGTTAAGTAGAAACAAAGTTTTCCAGAGTAACTTGAATTAAGCTTCCACAGAGCGAGATTTCATATGCACAGCTGAAATAACTATGCTTCATAATGCTTAACGTGGTTTACACTCAATCACAGTTGACAGAATAATAATAATAATTGCTTTTGATGAGGCTTTTGAACAGGCCAACTGCTTTCATAATCCAGCTACAATTTTTGACAGACTGGATAGATGCCTACTGCAAATAAGCCAGCTTGTCTGCAGCTGACTTTTTATAACTTGTTGAATGAACCACTGTGAAGGAAGGCAAGTCCAAAGGCCCCAAAAACCTTTTTAAACCCCTGTAAGCATTTAAAGTTCACAAGCCTTAGGGCAGTTTCATCCACTATGCTGAAGTCAGTGGAGTTGTTACTGAGGTCCTCTTCTGCAGAAACATGAGCACCCAACGCAGTGATGCAGTTCATCATTTCCAAAAGTCACCAGGTACTGCCCCTGGTGTGGGGGCAATTCTGATGCAGTTTTCTTTCAGCTCGTTCATGCTAATGGAGGCCCCACTTCCCTAAATACTTGAAATTACACAAGTGAGGTTATGGAGCAGATTTTCAAGATAAAGGGTCTGTGGGACCTCTTTTATTATCTGTATTTTCTTCTAAGTTTGAATAGGAAGGTGTTCATGCAGAGGACCTCCCAACTACTTGTTTGCCTTTTAGTTTCAAAGAATATTCACATAAGGTAGGAGTTTGGAAGAAGGCTTTTCTGTGGGGTCTGGAGAGTCATCCTATCCTTTTTTCTCCCAAAGAAAGGAGCTACTTTAGGACATGAAGAGTGAATTACCCACTTGGTCTGCAGATAATTCAGATTAAATGACATTCTCAAAACCATCCGTGGGTCCCTAAGAAGTGTGTTTGCTTCATTTGATTAATAATTCTTAACAGAACAGTAAAAACTTTCTCTGTGTTGTAGGTTATCATTTCAAATTATTTTTGATTAACTATCAATCTCTCTTCTGAAAGTTCAATGTGGAGCTTAACTCACCTACCCCAGTAGTGTGGTCTCCTTTCGGACCGGTGTAAGAAGTGGGAGTTGGACCTCTCCTCCTGTGCCAACTCCCACGACCTCTCTTCTTCTGGGTAAACACACACTCGTCTTTTTCAAAAGTACACTCTCCAGGATTGGGTGGCAATAGATCTATAAAGAGAGGACATGGTCTAAAGCTGCAAATATATCAGACAGATATATGGAGAGCTTGCACAAGCAATGTATTGCATTCACTCACCTGCTGAGATGACTTGTATCTACCTAGCAATACTTACAGTAGTCACAAGCCCATAAAAGCTAACCCTAAACTGGCACGCAAGATTTAATTTCATTTTCTTCACAGCTCTGGGGAAATCTGTGCCCTAGTCTGGCTCCTTAACGTGTACTAATATTCTTTAAAACATCCGTACAGTTTTTCATCTCATCATAGTTCTTACTCCGCAATGGGCTCTACCAGCATAATTTTCTTCACAACTGTGGCACCCCAAGTAGTTTAATAAGCTGCATCGTATGTAACATGCATATTAAATGAGTCTTGTCAAAGACTGGGGTTTCTGTGATCTGAAATCAAACACCACATTTAGCTCTCCTATGCTCCCTTGGCACCCAATTCTAATATTGGATACAACAGACCACAGAGCTGCAATTACTAGAGTATTTTCATGGTTTCAGTTCTATTAGATGATGCACAAGAAAGTTGACAATTCAGGTGCTCGCTAGGAAGTTTCTGTCAGCTCTTCTGCTACAGTTTGAATTTGTAGTTCAGGAATAGACACTCTAAGCTGCTTTCACCTTTTGAAAAGGAGGAAGCCTTGATGCCTCACATACTCTGGGCCATTTTCATGCATTTTTTTTTCTGCCAGTGACAAATCCCAGTATCAGTTCTGCAGCTTTGGTTCCTTAGGAACTACAGAAAGGCAAAACAGACAACTGTTGGAAATACTTTGGAAAAATGGCATCTTGTTTTACACATGTGATTTGTCTCTGTTCTGTAATGGTTAGCTGCCTGAATGCATGAAATCCAATCAAAAGAGGTCATTAAAAAGTTATTATTATATGGGAATATAAATGGCATGGTAGATCAGCCTTATCACCATTTCAAAGACATGGCTTTATTCCGAAGAAGAATGGGATTATAGACTGTGCCTGTCTCACGAGAATGATTTCCAAATGAGGATACAATTGTTGCATTGTCAAACCTCAAAAAGCCCCAGAAAAGGGAGTTTGGGTGAGTTCAGAGAGGTTAGCCTGCGCATGTCAGGGGGTAAAGTCTCGCTCAGAAACATTCAGTTCCTCGCACTACAGGAGGGAGAGTTAGACTCATCTCATCTGTCTTCATTAGAGAACTGCAGCTCAGATAAAGGACTGTGTCTTGGCCTTGCACAACTGTACCTCTGGACTAAAAATAATGATGCTGTGTTTTGAAAATGTTGCTTTTGGGTCCATTCCTGGTTTCCTAAAAGCCATTTGAAAACTGCGTTACTGTCAGTTTGACTGTTGTTTGTTTTTAAAATTGTGATGCCCCAAAAGAAATGCTCACCTACATAAAACTGCACCAGAATCAGTGAGGTTAATTAGGTGTTAGATGGTACCCCTGTGCACAAAAACCAGTCCTGACTGTGTGCATGCTACTGCAAAAATAGGATTAATGCAATAGTTACTGGAAAAAGAAAAGAAACCACAGTGTGGTGAAGCCAGCTGTAGGACAGGCTTGAAAAGTGAAGGTATATGAACTCTTACTAAAAAGGGCATGGGGAGGGCAGCAGCTGTTGGATGACAAATATACATGGTCTTACCAGCAGCCTGGCAGCTTCCCAGGCTCAATGATACATCATCCAGTGCCACAAGTCCACAGTCCCAGAAGCTCTTACACCAGCTCACAAAGACAACCTGCAATACATGAAGGAAGTTTCAGAAAGTTTCTAACAAAAGATGGCACTGTTAAGAGCCTGAAATTTTAGATTTTTTGAAATACACTAATGATTTTGACATCTAGAGAAAACAAATTATGAATTCACTTTGTTTTGGCACATACTAATACTGACAATGACTGAAATTTTAAATCCAGTGGGGTTTAGATGTGTATTTTCATTCAATAGAAAGTGTTTTGTCACTTTTATAGCCAAATTATATATCTCTGTATGAAGTTGCCATTTTATTAGGAGACTCTGTATTGTTCAGTGTCTGAGAAAACATGACTCACTAAGGTTGTTTCAGTTTTTCCTCCCCCAAAAAACCAACATGAACAGCTCAAATGTCCTCAGGTATCTTGTCCTTACAACCAGGAGGTTGTATCAATAAATTTGAAGAGTAATGCAGAGTGATGGCCAAGAGAAATGGCCCAGACAAAAAACAAAGAAGAATAGAGATGAGATGAAACTACTGCATAAAATGGGATTATTCAGAAATGACACAAGACCATGATATCATAACACAGGAGACTGGAAATGCTAAGCATCATTTACAGTGTTCAGCTGGGTTTGTGAAGATGAAAAATAGTGTCCAAGATGTTTTATTTGACGACACATTAATTCTGCCATGGAAAATACAAGTCACTCATGAGATGACAAAATAAAATGTAAAGAAACTATAAGATTCCCAGCTGCCCTCCTCCCAGTGCTGACACAGATCTGTTCAAATTACAGAAGACACAATAAGGTTTATTTTGTGAAAATACTGCTGGCAGTTTTCTTTGCCTAACTACTGCAAACCAGCTGTCTGACCGTTGGGGTTATGACCATAATTTGGGAAGAGCTTTTCAAAACAATTCCTTTGTGGTGAGGTCTGAGCTAGTAACTGGAGAGGGCTCAGTGGCACTTCTAACAGTTTAATATTCTGGAACAACTGTAAACACCTCGGTTACATATTTGAGGTTAAATGCTGACTGACAGTTTCATGCAGGTATAAAAAGGTTGTTAAAAGTTCTTTATGTATTATTTAGTATGTCCTCTTTTAACAGGCTTAGTAACACCTTCAATGTGGTCATTATGCCAGACTTTGCTAGATCGCTTTGCCAGGTAGTATTTATTGAGCCATCTGCTTATAGTGCAGCCTGAGGGGTAACTACACTTACAATTTTGAAGCATGTATGGGTTATGCTGCCCAGCACAGAGCAATTTTCAAAACCATTTTCCATTCAGTGCTACCTATCCTGGTAATAGTGACTATCTGTCTTGTAAACTATTACAGGTGGACTTGAGGAGTGCCCCTGCACAGCAGGCACAACTTCTCAGTGCATAGCAGCCTAAAACGGGCCTTAGTTTTGGGTTTTAAGTCAGGAGAGCTGCTCCCTTAGCATTAAGGTTTAACAGGACAAAAATCGTTTCCTATTTTGTACAGTCATTCTCAAGAAACAGGCGCAATCTATTAAAAAATGGTAGCATCTCTTGGAATAAAAAGTACAATAAATACTGACGTTGGGTGGACGTCATTCACCAGACTTTTAATAAATGCATTCTGGTGAACATTTGTAATAAACTAAAGACATATTATAGTCCTAAACCCAAGAATCTTCAGAAAACCACACATGAAAGGGTGAGGTCAGTCCTCGTTTGTGAAACAACATTTCCACACTGTGGAATTATGTTGTAAGCAATGTTTTCCTATTGACATCATTGGGAGCAGGATCAAGTTCTTTATTCTTAAATTGCAATAATTTGTTCCATACAAGGTATGTAATTACCCATTGGATCCTGCAGAAAGCCCTCAATTTCAAAAGCATCGCAACAATAATTGCTGGTCTGTCGAAGGCCATTGAACCAGTAGCCTTTGTACAAACGGTTGATCTGTTTCTGTGACACTTGTAAACTTGTTCGGCTTTGTCATCTGTAGCTTTAGCGTTACTCATTCTCCCCTTGCTTTTTGTGGTGCTGAGTGACACGCCGCCATGAGCAGACTGTGTAATTGCGCAGGAGTGGGGTTGGGGGAGCTTGTGCTTGGGAATGTGGAGTTTCCAATAATAGCTATAGCAAATGTAATGAAATTGTCCATTGTCCCCTTGGGTTATTTTTTTGTTAAATTCTTGACTTAGTTTTAAGCAGTGGGGTAGAAGACACTTTTCTTAACAGGTCAAATTTAATCACTCTTCTTCTGTCCTAAATGTCCTTTTCTGTCCTAAATGGACATCCTTGAATATTTGAACTTTACCTACCAAAATTGTATCAATTTGGATCTACGCAACTACTCATTTTCACCCTATGTCAGCTCTCTGAATCCTTTCTGCAGTCTTGACAGAACCAGTCTCATGGTGCTTTACATTTGTTTTTGTTTTGAATTAAAATATTTCCTAGGTTGATTCTTCCAAACGATTTTTTATGAAGTTATCTCACGCCTTGGAGAAGACAATAGGGGCATCTTTGTGTTCAACTCATACTTTCTTCATAAAACATGACATGAACAATATACTAATTGTTTCAAACTAGGTAACAAATCTTCCTGGACTTGCATGCTATCTTGGAGGCTAAATTAAAAACATTATCAAATGCAGGCAGTTGTTGCCTGTGTTACTGAAAAATAAAACATATTTTCCTCTCATGTCTCTTTTTGTTACAGTAACAGGACACAGCCAGGACATTAGTTTCTTTCCAAATCATTGCCCCAATTTCTGGAAGCAGGTTTGTTTATTTTCTAGTACTTAATCAATGATGTTCCTGGCCTGCAGCCTTAAAGTATCAATAATCAGTTCTTAGCATTTATCCTGGATTATATCAGTAATGAACAACACCAGATGAGAACAACTGGCAGAGCAAGCAGCATTTCGCATCTCCCATGGCATGTTGCTGGGGTGTGCTGCAGATACTGAGTGAGGTAGAAGGGACTTCTCATCCTTAGCACTCTGCATCTCTACAGCTAGATGTGAGCTGAATGTATGCATATTAAGTTTACCTGCTTTTGGAGGAGACGAAAGAGTAGGACATGCAGTAGGGTATCTCCATCAAGAAGCATAAGGAAGGACTAATGGGGAAGCTTGTGAAAGGAAGTTTGGGGGGGAGTTGGACTGAGAACTGGAGAAAAGGAGAGGAGATGCCCTCAGATCACTATGGGTTCTGTGTATTTTCTTTCCTACTTGTTTATCCCAGAAAGTATAGCGGTTGCTCACATAGAGAGAGACCAGCCAAAAATAAGAAAAACTGGGACAGCAGCCAAATCTGGTGACTTAAAAGCAAGCTATGCCTCTGCAGCAAATCAATTTACCTTGTTCCATCCTAGTGAATATTCCTAGGTTTGAACTAGGGTGGGCACAAAACTCTGTCACTTAGATACATACTTGGGTTCAATTTCTGAAAGGAGAAAGGCAGTTACAGTGGAGTCTGTGGGTTTTTGTGAGAAGCAATTCTTGTAACTTCCACACAGTGACACAAAACTCAGTATTATGAAATCCAAAAATAATTTGAGCACCAGAAACAAAAGTGTGACCTGACACAAAGAAGCACTCAAGATGTTTTCACAAAATAGGGAGCCTGACCTTTACACAGCCCTAAAAGCCTGTAAGCCAGGGACCCTTCACCGGCACAGGGAAAGGCAGAACCATTGTCCCAGAGCTATTTGATACAAAAGTTATCTCTGTAGCCCAAATTACTTTTAACTAGTTTAATTAAGCTAGATTTTAATGGATTGCTTTTCTTTGGCTTAAACAGAAACTCATTTATCAAGAGCACAAGTAAGCTACTAAGCCAAAATTAGAATGACTGCAAGCTTTCATCATTTTAAATAAATTGATTTAAAAAGGCACTTGCCATGCAAGTTCAATTTCTTGCCATGTAAATACAATGAGCTTCTGCAGGAAAAATAACAGATTATGAAAGCTTCAACATAAATAATTGGAAAGCATTGGTAATAAGGTTGTGACATTTGAACAGTTTTTGAAAATCTTTCCTGTCCAAGGGCAAATAGGTTGCAGAAACAAACTATGAAAGAGAAACATAAAGCGAACAGAACAACATAGGGCCACAGGCTGTTAACACTACATCTATATTCACTGGATTGCACTGTCTAGTAGAGAATACTGCCTGCACAGAAATGTATCTAGAACACTGATATCCTCAGCTGTCCCCCCAGGGCGCTCCTAGATTTCCAGAAATCTGCTGTTATGGCTCTATCTTCTTTGCAGTGAAACAGTTTCCTCAGCTCTTTTTCTAAGAGGGAAAGGTTCTTGCCTTTAGACTGAGGACTCTTGTCAGATGATGTGGCATCCTAATATCACAATATTAACTACCCAGAAAAAAAACTGGGCCAAAAAGGGAAATGTCAGTTAAGTATCACAGATATCAAGAGGAGGTATGTAATATTTAATGCAATATATCTCCATGCTTAGCTACTATGAAGACATGAGCCACTTAGGTAACACTTTCTAACCTGAATAATTTTTACAGTTGTTTCAATACATCATTTCCATAACTGTCTATCAAACACCACAGTCAGTGGGGTACACGTTTTGCAAGCACTAATCCTACTATTTACAGACCCTAATGTTCTTATTTTAAATGCGCGTTTCCAGTGACTGTTCTTTAAGGAGCTTCTTGTTTTAGAGGTGAGAGAAGGGAGGTGTCCTGGTTTAATTTTCTTCCTAGTAGCTGTTGCAGTGCTGTGTTTCAGATTTAAGATGAGAATAATGTTGATAACACACTGACATTGTAGTTGTTGCTAAGTAGTGCTTACACTAAGTCAAGGACTTTTCAGCTTCTCATGCCCTGCCAGTGAGAAGGCTGGAGAGGCACAAGAAGCGAGGAGGGGGCACAGCCAGGACAGCTGACCCAGACGGTCTAAAGGGACTGTCACAGTGATGATGTGACAACAAAAGTCCAAAGACCCTCATATCAAGCCCTAGGAAGGAGTGATAATGGATGCTTAGAGAAAATAAATTTGTCCCATTGTATTATGTTCAGCTCCCA